TCTATGAAAAAGCAAGATGAAGACAAAGATAAAAGAGATAAAGAAGAAAAAGAAAGTAGCAGAGAAAAAAGGGAGAGGTCTCGAAGTCCAAGAAGGTACAATGCCGTGAACACATCCCTCTAATGTTTCATGGGTACTTAGGGACTTTAAGGGTTTCTGTGTAGAAGAACTTTGACAACTATAAAGGGAGCTAGCAACACTGTTTAGCGAGTTTCTCCTATTATAAACTTCACATGGTAAGCTGACTTGCCTTTGGGCTAAAGAAATATTTCCTCTTGTTTGAGCGCACGATCTCTTGGCTATGACAGATACTGTTTCTGAGATTTCTAAGTCAAAATCTAGACTTTTCTTTCATGTTGCTCTGATTAAACAGCATTTAATTAACGAGTAGATTTTGGATGTACTCGAACTCACTTTTTTCCATTCCCTTTTTATTAGAAATCTGTCCCCATTGGCTGGTTATGTTATATCTACCTAATTCCCTGTTCTGCTTTTCTCAGATGGTTGTACTCAACTCAAACTTCGCACCATTTCTTTGTTTTCTTCTTCCACTGAGACTTTTGTTAGGTTCACATTTTTAAATCTACGCCTCAGCTTCTACTTATTTGTGGTGAAAGGTGAGAATTCCATTAGGCTTTTTATTTTGAGGTTTCTTTTGTTTCTGCAAATTAATGGAAGGAGGTTAATGTTTTACTCCCTTTCATTTGGGAATTTTATATTAAAAGCTACTTGTGAAGGAATATACTTAAACACAAGTCATCGTGGTAGTAACCTGGCTATTGATGCCTCATCTGTTATTTTCTTTCACTGTGAATTTTAAAAAATACCTAGTTAAGCAAACGTATGGAGGACGTTTCCTCTTCCAGAAAACATTGTTTTATTTTGATACGTTTCTCTTAGAAGTTTACTTTAGTTGCCCTAGTCATGTCAATTTGGCATTGCTGAGCTCTGCCTCATGAACTCTCTTGTGGGATCTGATTGCATTTAAATGTTTGTTTGTTGGGTTTGAGTATTGGTAAGGCAATACTACTGTTTACCTGTAAACAATCTTTATCTCTCTGAAAAGTGACTCTTTAATATCTGGCACTGATTATGAGCCCGCCCCTGTAATTGGTATATTTCAGAAATTTGTCCTTTCTGTTTACTTTCTGGTTCTCCTGTCTTTTCCTTCTGGAATAGGTGAAGTAAGATGCTCTATTTCCTTTCATAGGTCACTTCTCATATAAAAACAACCGTGATGTAAACAAAAGGACTTTGTCCTCACTTCCCTTTGTTTATCCCCCTTGTCCCTTTATTTTATTCCAAAACCTGAAAAAAGTTGCTTTCATCCTAGACGCAAATCCAGATCTCCTTCCCCTAGAAGACGATCTTCTCCTGTCAGGAGAGAGAGAAAGCGCAGTCATTCTCGATCTCCCCGTCACAGAACCAAGAGTCGGAGTCCTTCCCCTGCTCCCGAAAAGAAGGAGAAAACTCCAGAACTCCCAGAGCCTTCCGTGAAAATAAGAGAACCTTCAGTACAAGAGGCCACTTCCACTAGGCAAGCACATAACAGTTGATGAGAAGTATACTTTTAGACTGTTATTAATCACTGCGGATGCCCTATATCTGAGTTTAAAAAAGAAATTACTGGATTGTTTTGTTAGTTTATTAATGTAAAATTAATTTGTTGCAAAGGAGTCCAAGTAGAATAGGAGAATGTTAGTAAAAAGTCTCAGAGGTGACCTCTAGTATCTGCTGGCTGTATTCTTTCAGATGTTTTATAGACTGCAACTTCCAGGCAGTTTTGCAGGTGTTCTAAACATTAGAAATGTTAGTTGCTTACTCAGCTTCAGTTATGCATCTCTTTGTAACCAGGAGGACGTTTTCCTGGCTTTTGAAAACTAAAAAGAGTAAGGCGAGGGAGAGCTTTCTTTCTTCTATAGTTGTTAGTAGTGTCTAGTCAATTTATGATGATCTCGTGTTTTCATAGTGATATCCTGAAAGTTCCCAAGCCAGAACCTGTGCTAGAACTTAAAGAACCTTCTCCAGAAAAAAATTCTAAAAAAGAGAAGGAGAAGGAGAAGACTCGGCCAAGATCTCGATCTCGTTCCAAATCTAGGTCCCGGACACGTTCTCGTTCTCCTTCGCACACTAGACCTAGACGACGTCATAGGTCCCGGTCGAGGTGAGTTGTGACTAAGATCAGCCTAGACCTTTTCCTGCCCTCCTCTTTCAAATAGACTCATGGTTTCCAAGCAGTCCGCATTGGTAGTTGTAGCCAGTTGCTGTGGAGCGAACTACAAAGTTCAGGGAATACTTTCGTAAGCAGGCTGAGGGTGTCTGAGGCATCTGGAACCTCAGCTTTTTGCTTCCTCGTCTGGTACTTCAGTCTCTGTGCCATCCTAGAAATTCTAGAAAACGGTACCGTGTATTCTGTAGATTTACATAGGACACTTTCTGTACACCCTAGGAATCTTTTCCTTGAAGTTTGTGCTTAATGTGTGACCTTTGGGGAAACTGTCAAGGAATGGGGGTTCTTGCTTAGTTGAGTCCTCTCTCTCTCTCTCTGCGGTAGATCATACTCCCCTAGAAGGCGGCCCAGCCCCAGACGACGGCCATCTCCTCGAAGAAGAACTCCGCCGAGACGAATGCCGCCTCCGCCACGGCACAGAAGGAGCAGGTCTCCAGTGAGACGGTGAGGTTTTTGCTTTTCTTTCGGAAGTCTCCAGTGCCTGAAAGTGTTCCCTGTGTTTATTGGACAGTGATCTTTCAATTAATATCCCCTAGGGAGAAAAGGAAAGCAGTGTTGTATCTAAGGTGCCTAAGTCACTGGAGATGGGAGTCTTCTAATTATGCTATGAAAAATATCTGTTCCAATGTAAAGTAAATCAGGAAATTCACTAGCCTGTTAATAACTTGGCATTAAGGTTTTAATCCTTTCATATCCCACTAAGAAATCCTAACAACAAATAAAGTAATTGGCCATCTTGGCTATTTCTATGGCGTTGAACTTGCTTGCCTCTGGGTTCTGAAAAGTAGCTGACTACAGGTCTAATGAGAGCTACTTTTTAGTACTAAAATTAGCACCACCACCCCATTATGACAAAAGTGAGTGTTCATTATAAACAATTGAAGCGGAAGGGGACATACTTACTTGCCTTTGCGTCATTTCCTTCTCATAGCAGCAGCCTTTGGAGTGACAGCTGGGTTGAACCAGTTAGCAGTCTGGCATTTACCCTGACAGCGCCACCATAGCTCCCATAATCTTATTCTGTAGAAATAACCGTTATTAATAACTCAGTTTGTTCGGGTTGAGAGATTAGACTTAAGGTTTTTTGTTTTGTTTTCTTTAAATCACTCTCAATAAAAAGGAAGCTGTAAAAATCTCCCAAGTAGAACACTGGTGCCCTGGGAGCCGACTTTTTGTGCTCTCTTGACAATACATTTCACCTTTTTGGAAACGATTATAATCACTGTGTTTCTAATTTTAAGTCTCTTTAGTTTTTGTTTGTTTTTTTATTTTTCAGGAAACCAAATAAACTTGGGGAAAAAGAGGAAACATTAAATAAACTACAGAGTGTCTTTGTGCAAACTGGGACCTTTCATAGTCTTTTTTTATCTATCTTCTCAGGGATGGGGGGGTTTGAGTATGATTTTATTACCACTATTAAAAGTTATAGAATTGGTGCTGCTACTGGTAGATGAGATTACTGATAGAAAATGGTCAATTCAGGCAGGCATCACAGTTTCCTACAATTGATTATTCCTCCTCCATAGAAAAGTTTTGCTGGTGCTTTCTAGTACTAGTTAATGGAATAATCGTGTATGAGGTAGTTTTTTACTGGAGTTTTGCAATCAGCATGTTTTAATTTGCTTACTAAGTCATCTAGCAGTCAAAATATTTTGCAGATTGTGTAAGATTCCCTTTCAGCCAGTTTCTATCTCACACTTAAGGTAGGGTTTCTTTTTTTCAGGTTCTCAGGAATTCTTCTGCCAAAGGTGAATTCTGCAGGTACACATAATTGCAACAGAACTTAGCACAAATTTTGCTGCAGAATTCGAGAGTCCCTTGCTTCTAAGTTTATGTAGCTAAACAAATTCCAAATCTTGCACATCTTTTTTTCCCCCCTTTTTTAATGCAACCTGTAGGTTGCTTGACACTGTCTGTTGTTAAATGGAATGTGCTTTGGGACTCAGATTTTCTATGCAAACTCCAAAACACTGATAACAGTCTTAAGGAAGAAGCTGACTGGTGGTTTTCTAGCACTTGGTGTGGTGTGTTTTATCAGTGGGGAAGTAGGTCAAACCAACCTTTATCAGAATGTGTCCTTTCAGACTTAGCTGTTTCCGTCCTGGGTTTTTTGGTCATTTTTATGCCAGTTTTGTGGGGGACTTATGTGCTTAGCTACATAAACTCAAAAGTTGGATTAAAATTGCTGTTTTGTTTGTAAATTGTACGTAGCGGTAAAGCCATTCGCTGAATACGCGAGTAGTGAGTATGACAACTTTCATTCACAGAAGACGGCGGTCGTCGGCCTCCCTGTCGGGGAGTAGTTCTTCGTCCTCCTCATCTCGCTCCCGGTCGCCGCCAAAGAAGCCACCCAAGAGGGCCTCCAGCCCCCCTCGAAAAACTCGGAGGCTGTCTCCTTCGGCGAGTCCTCCAAGGCGCCGACACCGACCGTCCCCTCCAGCAAGTCCACCACCAAAAACGCGTCACTCCCCAGCACCCCAACAGTCAAACCGCACCAGGAAAGGTCGGGGTTCTGTGTCTCCCGGGAGAACTTCAGGTAAAGGTAAAAATCAAGCATATAATACACATTCTCTCGTTTGGTGTAAGGTGGGTAGTTTGAAGTACGAAGTGACTGGGTAATACTTGTATGAGATGTTCTTTGTAAGGAGGCTCACCTTTTTCCTGCTTTACATTCTGGCGTTTTGGCAATAGAGATTTCATGTACAAGTATTTTGTTTTAGCATTGAGGGAAAATAGTGCCGGCCATGGACTGCTTGGGTTGGTTGTAACTTATCCAACTGTGCGCTGTCATAGGGATTATTTCACTACTTTGAGTCTGTTCATCCGTCCCTCATCTGTACATACACACACCACCTCATCAAGATTTTTGTTGGCTTTTTTTTCTGAGGACTGCGTATTCTGTTTTCATTCTTTCTTGGCCACATTGTGCTCTCAGTAGAAAGACATGGTGTTCTTTTAAAAGCTGATTGATTTGGTGTTTGATTTTTGTTGTTTTAAGGCTGTAGGCAGGTTACTTTTGAGTGTTCTTTATTCTACTGATTGATTAAATTTATGAACTGTGATCCTGCCTAGCTAGTTGAGTGCTGTTCGTCTGCGTGAAGGTTGTAGTCTGTTGTCTGGTGAGGTTTGTTCCTCTAATGTTTAAAAGCACCCTGTGAGCTCCTTTTGAATCAAGCCTTTCATGCTGAGGGCTGGAATGACCGAGAGGGTCTGGAAGGGGGGAGTGAGTAGCAGGGGAGGGAAAGCAATGGCATTTCAAGGAGTACTCAAAGTTTAAGTATTGGGGTGGTTCTGATCAGATTTAAATCCCTAGAACTCGCTCTTCATGAGATCAGAATGTCTTCCAGCAGTCTGCTCTTTCCTCAAGTTCCCCAGTAGGCTGCTGACTAGAAAGTCAAGTTAGGCTCTGCTTCTATTATTGTGAGGTAGAGATCAGTATTCAGAGTGATGGAACAGCCGGAGGTGATCATAATCCATTAAGAGTTCATGGGTAGGTTATCCTGAATCTTAGCATTTAAAATTTAATGAAACTGGTGCTAGATAACTAGTATAATACTTCGGGGGCATCAGTAATAATTATTTGTGCCATATTGTCTCTTTAGACCTAGACAGGAAGCTTAAGAGAAAGAAAGCTTTCTTTCTGCTGGGTGCTTACTTCAGTCAAGCATGGGAACGGGATCTGAAGATCATGATTTTATAACATCATGTTCCCATATTGCATTGGTTCAAAATGGGACAATCTCAACCCATCCATAATTACTAGTTAATATCTAAACTACAGTGCACATTGCCCTGACCCTCCCTACCACATGAAATGTTTTGTGCTTCTAAATGCCTCTTTCCTTTGTCTAGAGCTAGGCAGTTCACTAGTGGAAAAAAAAATTGCAAATACTGTACTACTTTAATACTTGGCATAAACGTCAGGTTATGATTTTTCTGTTTGTGTTATATAAAGAGTTCCAACAAACAGAAAAGCCAGCGTGGAGGACCCAGGGAATAGTTTTATTTCCGTGCTTCTAGGACAGGGCACTCATGTCCAAAAAAACACTAGCCAACGATCTACACTGGGCAGTGTGGTCAGGGCTACCCAGTGACCATTAAAGCCAAATACTGCTTTGAGTTACTAGGAGGTAGCCTCTGCGATCAAATTGCAGAGACCTTAGATAGAGTCCTCACCAAGCACCGTGTCAGACAAGTGCGGTCACCTGGCCAAGACCGGTCAGCTACGCCTAGACTCTAAGTGCTCTTCTCGTCACCAGTTAAATAATATGGGGGGAGCTTCAAAAAGGTTGTGGACATTTTTATTCTCGTCCATTTTCTATGAACTTTTTATACCTTTTATACACATACACCCTTTCCCAGCTTTCTTACTCCAGAATACTACTTCAGCTGCTGAAAGAGGAAAATAAAGGGGAAGGGAGAGATCTTTAGCTGGAGGTATGATTCCAGAAATGCCTTTGTTGTTTCCATGTGTAATCAGTGACACTGTTGAAATGTAATACAACTTAACATGAGTTAAGTCAGCCTAGCAATTACAACCTGTTCAGTAAACCAGTTTTCGAATGACTTCTTTTAAGAAGATTTATAACTATGCTAGAATTTTTTTTCTTGGAAAAAAAATCATTAGCAAGATACACTGGCAAGATATGACAAAATACCCATTTATAAACTATCAAGGGCACATGCGGGGAGGGAGGGGAAAAATGAGGACCTAATGTCGGGGGTTTAAATGGAGAGAAAATGTTTTGAGAAACGATGTACAAATGCGCTTTACACAATTGATGTGTGTATGGATTGGGATAACAGTTGTATGAGCCCCTAATAAAATGTTAAAAAAGGAAATAAATAAATAAATAAATAAAGGAAAGGGGGGGGGAAAGATACACTGTACAATACAGGAACAAATGGAAACCTGATTAAATATTAGCAAGGCATGGGTGATTATCTGATTAACTCTTGTTGCCAGTGAGTCAGTTCTGACTCAAAATGACCCCTTGTACAGAACAAAATCCTGCCTGATCATGGTCATTGCTGTGTTTGAGCCCATTATGATAGCCGTGGTATCTTTCTAAGTCCCTCTACTTCACCAAGCACAATGTCCTCCAGGGATTGGCCCTTCTTGCTGACATCCAAATGTATGAGCCGAAGCTTATTGGGTAGTATCATTAATAAAGTGCTGTTTGTTGAGAAATTGTAGCCAAAATTCAATTTGATGCAATGAAAGATTTTGTGTTAAACCCTTAGATCTCAAAGTGACTGCCCCTTGGAGTAAGCCTTTTTAGAATTTTGAATCTTGGGTGTTATTGTGAGATGAGTGTGCACTCTGGGTCAAACATCCCAAGGCAATTCTTTTCAATAAAACACCTGGTAAGAATCCTGAAAGTTGTACTTCTCAGAGGGGTGTTTCTAGGTAGTGAGGTTATTGACTATACTTGGGAGTTGGATGTTGCGAATAGGTGATGCTCATTGAAAGATTGTCCACTCAGAGACATCGTGGGGGGAAAACCTGGTGATCTGCTTCTAAATAATTACCATTTAAAAAACCCTATGGAGCCCAGTTCTGCTCTGATCCAGCTGGGGTATCCACGAGGGAATTCACTTAGAGGCAGTTAGTACTGGTATATACTTGGGATTTTAGTGGAAACAATGGATAGATGGATAGATACATAAGCATAATTTGTGCTTTTGAAGATTGGAACCTGGAAGAAGGAATTTGAGTTCAAATCCTCACTCAAATGATCTGTATAGTACACTATGGTGAAATGACTAGCTTTTTAAGCTTCAGGTTGCCTCCTCTGGGGTTACCAGTAGGCAGCAGTGTTTTAACAATACCTGTAACATCACAAGCAAACAAAAGTTGCGGTGATAAAATTTTCATGCAGTAAGTTGGGTAAGGTACCCTTATGTTCTTCTTTTTGAGTCTTTCGACTCATACAGTCTTGGTGTTTAACAACTTTTACGAATGTAGGAATCTTTCTGAGTAATTTTATGCACGTTATATATGTAGAGCTTTCTGCTTCCTGGGTAGCTAATGCATTCATTTATCTTTTCAAGACCAAATATCCAAGTTTTATGAGGTCTTACTTCATCATTTGTCTTACTTTTTGGACCCACATATAGAGGGTGCCTGAAAACTTAAGTCCCCTCCCAAGTTAAGAGAGAGAGAGAGAGTGTGTGTGTGTGTGTGTGTGTGTGTGTTTTCTAATTGGTGGGATTCAAATGGCTGCTAGAGGTTTACTTTGTTGAATATTGCACACTTCATAAAGTTAGTAACAGCATACATAATTTTCCCCACATTCTTTGAATTGTTAGTTGGGAAAATTTGTTTTTTATCAATCCAAAGTTTGAAGATAAGATAAAAAATGTGAAGGCATATTTTAGTGTAGCTTTTAATTTTTTTCTTCCCCAATTCTCTTTTAGTGACAAAACATAAAGTAGCCGAAAAAAGAGAGTCCCCTTCACCAGCACCCAAGCCTAGAAAAGTGGAGCTATCGGAATCGGGTAAGTGTTTTTGTTTTGTTTTAAGCTGGGTTAGACATGTGCATCTGGTCTTAGGTCTAATTTGATTGATGACAGCATGTGGCTCTGAAATCTGGCAAGCTGGTTTGACTTCTTAGCTCCTTGTAACTACTGTTATTATTGCTTTTTTTATTTTTATGAATCATTTCTCTAATAAATTTTGTAGATAATAGTGACCGTTAACTCAAGTAGTGTTTATAAACTGCTTGGAGCCTAGTCTGACCAGAGGTGAATACCTATATGTGTTTTTTTATTATATCTGGTGACTATAAATTTAAATAGCTATCTTAAGCCCATTCTACTTGTAAAACATGTAGTAGTTACACTTAATTGACCCAACCAAATAAAAATTCCTCTTCAGATAAACATGTTTTTTTTGTATGCGTAACTAAAGAAGCCCTTTCTAAATGCATCCTTCTTTCAGAAGAAGATAAAGGTGGCAAAACGGCAGCAGCAGATTCTGTGCAGCAAAGACGCCAGTACAGACGACAAAACCAGCAGTCTTCCTCTGGTATGCTCTTGACTAGGGTTTCTTAATGAGCCACCCTCTAGTGTGGTGAATGTACCCTGATTCCCCGAAAATAAGACCTACTTACAGTTTTGCCTCTCGCTGAAATACAAGGCATCCCCCTGAAAATAAACCCCCCGAAGCTACCATAACTCTGGACCTTAGAGGTGGGCGCCACAGTGCAGCCGGAGCAGGCAGGAAGTGCGAGGTCTCTTTTAATAAAACAATAAATGTGGACCGTATTCTTCATGCAAAAACAAGGCATCCCCTAAAAATAAGACCTAGCACATCTTTGGGAGCAAAAATTAATATAAGACACTCTTATTTTCGGGGAAGCAGGGGAGTTTTAAGAGAATGATCATGTGTTTGTGGTTCTCAGGAGATTGTTTCTGTGGTAAATGTGTAGGGTTGGGTCCCCTCGTGTGCTGGGGGGTACGCACTGGGTAGCTTACCAACTGCCTCGGAAACCCAAAGGTTTCCAACACTAAGTGATGTGCACTGTCCCATACACATGTCTTTTCACTCTCTTTAAGTTCTTTTTTTTTTAATCATTTTATTAGGGGCTCATAGAACTCTTACCACAATCCATATATACATCAATTGTGTAAAGCACATTTGTACTTTTCATTGCTCTCATCATTCTCAAAACATTTGCTCTCCACTTAAGCCCCTGGCATGAGTTCCTCACTTTCTCCCTTCCCTCCCTGCTCCCCCCACCCTTATGAACCCTTGGTAATTTGTAATTTATATTATTTTGTCATATCTTGCACTATCCGATGTCTCCCTTCACCCACTTTTCTATTGTCCGTCCCCCAGGGAGGAGGTTATATGTAGATCCTTGTAATCGGTTCCTTTTCCACCCCACCCTCCCAGTATCGTCACTGGTCCTGAAGGGATCATCCACCCTGGATTCCCTGTGTTTCGTTGTTATCTGCCAATGTACGTTCTCTGGTCTAGCCAGATTTGTAAGGTAGAATTGGGATCATGACAGTGGCAGAGGAGGAAGCATTTAGGAACTAAAGGAAAGTTGTATGTTTCATCGTTGCGACACTGCACCCTGACAGGCTCGTCTCCTCCCTGCGACCCTTCCGTAAGGGGATGTCCAGTTGCCCACAGCTGGGCTTTGGGTCTCCACCCCGCACTCCCCCTCATTCACAATGTTGTAATGATGCCTGATACCTAATCCCTTCGACACCTCGTGATCACACAGGCTGGTGTGCTTCTTCCATGTGGGCTTTGTTGCCTCTGAGCTAGGTGGCCCCTTGTTTACCTTCAAGCCTTTAAGACCCCAGACACTATATCTTTTGATAGCTGGGCACCATCAGCTTTCTTCACATTTGAAGCTTTAGATCTTTAGAGTCAATAGTAACAAAGAACGGACGAAAATCTCATCGTTCTAGTGAATACATAGAATAGAGCTGAACTGGGTTTCATGGAGTAAGTCTTTACACAGGAGTAGAAAGCTCATGGTGGGTTTGAATGCTGTCTTCGCAGTAGCAGTCCAATATATAGCCTTCTGTGCCACCAGGGCACCTTAAAACATAATGGAGGAGCATAAGTTGAAAAGTATACATCTCCCAGTTGAATATGACTTTCAGTCATCTTAAAAATGCTCCGAGAAACAAGTAATTACTTGCGATGCTCTTTAAGCATTACTTAATTATTTGGAGAACTATTCAACAAGGGAATACATGTCTTGATTTGTTTTTTTGTTGTTGTTGTTTTGACATTTCATCTTTCATTACTTTATTTCGCAGCATGACACTTCAGAATCGAAAAGTACTTTCCTGTTCCAGAGCTCAGAGGATAATGTCTGCTCAGGAATGGAGTTAACACAGAGGGCAGGAAGTAGTGGTGCCAGCCTGGACACAGGTGTCAGAGCCTAACCTGCCTGGCCTTCCACCATAGACAAGCATGTTTCTTAATAATTATTTAAAATAGATTAAAAAATTATAACATAGTGACAGAAAGGCCGTGAGCAATATGACAAGGCATCCTTTTAAGTGTAAGCACCCCAGACATCAAACATGTGGCCACCTCATCATTCCTTGTCATCAATACCTCCATAGTCTGATTATAAAGGTTGAATAAAACTCCCTTTCTGCAACATGCTGGCCACTTTAGTGTATGTTTTCTGAATGTAACTCTCTTCAGGTGGGAGGGACATTTCATCAGAAAACCTAATAGTGGTATCTGGCCATGCCTGTGTCCCAACATGTTCATCTCCCATCTGCCCAAAGCTGTGGCATCACAGCTGGGGACAGATCAACCCACAGTTATCCAGGAAAGCATTCCAGGGAAGGATACTGTCCTAAAGTCGGCAGGGAATCTAAAAGAAATTGAACCTAAATTCTTCATCAGGGGTATCCAGGATGGCCTTGGTTCCCCCTGCTGGGTGAAGCTTACAGACTCTGGGCTCTTCCTTCTGGTAGCCACACCTACAGGCTGCACTTGTGCTGAGTGGGCTGCAGCCCTGAGGGCCCGCAAGGCCTCCTGTCGCTCAGCTTCCATCTGGGCCCAGTAGTCCCCAAACAAGCTGTGCATGAGCTGCCTCTTCCGTGGCAAGGGGGTCTTTTCACTGCGCAGGACACGAACTGCCCCAGTGGCTCTCTCTTTCTGTTTGGGGCTGGGTTTCTGAGTCCTGAGCCTCAGAGCTTGCCAGGGCTTCTTCAGGGGCCTTCCTGCCTCCATTGGCCAAACAGGCCCCATTCCGGGGGTTTCTTCTTTTGCTTCTTACAGGCTGCAAGGCTTTGGGAGTGCGCTGGATGAGCACTGGAGGCCGAGTCGCTACACGTGGGGCATTCGGGTCCCGGGCTGACTGGGCGGGCTCTGTGGGGGGTTGGGGGGGGCCGTGTCCTGGGCCCTCCGAGGTTTCCCAAGCAGGGCGTTCCAGGGCCATGCGCCCCGCCACCTTCCCAGCTGCCACCGAGGCCAACAAGCGCTCCGTCTTGATTTGTTTTACAGAAGTGATTTCTGTAACTTTTATTTAGCTCAGTAGTTATGTGTAGTTTTAGGGTATTTAACATCCTTGAGCATCAGTGAAATCATTGAGCCATCAATATTGCCTCGGTTCAGAATTGATTGCACACATGCTTGCTTACATTAGTATACTTGCTAATTTTGATATTTCACTTTAATTTAGAAAGCTTGGACAGATTTTAAGCGGGGGACGAGTGTCTTTTTTCTTTGCTGTGTCATTACAGACTCTGGCTCTTCCTCTTCCTCTGAAGAGGAGCGACCCAAGAGGTCCCACGTGAAGAACGGAGAAGTAGGCAGGCGACGCAGACGTTCTCCGTCCCGGAGTGCCTCTCCATCCCCACGGAAACGTCAGAAGGAGACTTCCCCTCGGTAATGTGCCTTTCTTTCCACAGTCCTGCTGGTGTGGATCCTCTGTCATTGTATTGAGACTATAACATAGGGTTGTGGGATACTGATTTATTTTAGAATTGATTAACTCCTTTATTTCAAGGACTCTACAAGAAGATGGTCAGGTTATATATTGTGAGTTTATTACTGCTAGTAAACATTGACTTGTCTTTGGGGGTGGGGGTGCACTTAATATTATTTCATGAGACATTTACCATGTGCCTTATATATGTGTGATTAGAGAAATAGACTTGACAGTTAAAGCATTAACTCATGAGCATTTTGAGCTCTTAAGTATCGCTATTAATGTTGCTTAACTCCATCAAAGGAAATAATTTAGTGAATGGCATTCATGACATTTGTTTTTCTCCACTGCTCTCAGGATGCAGATGGGAAAGAGATGGCAATCGCCAATGACTAAAAGGTTGGTTAGACACGGCTTTATTAATTAGGGTTACCTGCCAGAAGTTTTGCTATTTATTTTTTTTCCATTGTGCTGACATTTTAAAAGTGAATTACACATAGAAAAGTCTGGTTTAAAGCCTGTCCATTGCAAGAAAGCAGCAGTCGTAAACTGAGTTTGTTAAGGTCCGAGTTTAAAAGCGAGGTCTTAGGAGGCTGCTGCCATTGACACTGCATCGTCTCTTCAGGGATTCCTGGTAGTGGATGGGGTTCTGTGTCGGGCTGCCCACCGCCCTGCGCAGGAGAAGGATGAAAACTGTTCCTCCTGAAACTATGGCGGTGTCGTCTTGATAAACTTGCTTTGGGGGCTGTGTTGTTGTTTTTTGTTTTTTTTTAGATAATCTTATTATTTCCTTGGGAAGGCTATTTGGAACCAGTCCACAATATTTGTGATGGAACAAAACACCAGACACCTTTCTTGTAACATAGCACTAACACAGAAGAACCTAAATAATTATCTTTCTCCATTTCTAACATCTATTACCTAGGAGAGTCATCTGCTTGCAGTCATTAGACTTTGTGAAGTCCCTTAATTTCCATACTATACACACACACACACACACACCAATCAAGAAGACAAGTAATCCCTGTCTGGTGGTTCAAGAGATAAAACTTTAAAAGCATCTCAAACAGTTACTTAATACTCCAAGCATTTTTAAGGTTAATGAAAGTCATTTAGCTGGGAGATTTATGCTTTCTTGATATATTGCCTATTGGTGTTTATGTCCTATGTCTATTCAAAGCAATTTTATTTTTGAGGTCAGTGGGGTTCATTATTGGTTTTTTGTTGAGTTTTATGTTTTTTATTTTTCATGATAAACAAATGGATTGTAATATAAGCCATTCATTTGGTTTCAAGTTCCACACTACTGTTAGGCTTTCAAAGGAGCCTTGGTAGCATTGTTTGATTATTGGACTGCAAAGCACAAGCTTGGCTGTGGACCAGCCACTCTGAGGGGGAAACGTGACACGATCTATCCTGCTCCCATAAAAAGAAACCTATGTCATTCACTATATACGTCTGAATTGACTTAACAGTGGTGGGTAGGGGCATGACAGGGAGTTTTGGGTTGATTGTGCTTTCAGACACTAAAGTTTGGGTGTTGTGCCAATGAAAAATATAACTATTTGAAAAGTCTAAAAGAATGGAGCTCTCTATTAATGAAAAACAAATTTTTGTCATATTTTCTTCACATAAACCAACTTAACGGGTGAGGGGGCTTCTAGACATTTGTGGAGATAATCCACTCTTTTCATTCCATTTTCCCACAAACATTTTGATGCCTCCTGTTTTAAACCAAGTTGAATGCAGAGAGAGAATCTATGCCTTCTGTTAATCTAAATCTGTTAAACAGATTTGCAAACTATACCAATTCTATTATCAAATTTATTAGACTTAGGGGACAGACTGATCTATTTTGGTTTAAAATGTTTTTATATATTGGTTGTAATATAGGTTAGTGTTTTTCTGGCTTGTAGTGAGCTAACATGTAAATATCAATGTAAATGCTTAATAATTCACAATTGATGTATATATGGATTGTGATAAGAGTTGTATGAGCCCCTAATAAAACCTGATTAGATATTAGCCTAGACCTGGTGGACACAGAGCTGAGTTCAGCTTTCCAATTGAGATAGTAACTTAAAAACTGTTGTAAGAGAGCCAGTGTTTTCAAAGCCTTCCCCCTAGGTTGTAAGAATGTTTAATAATGTGACCATGACCCAGCATGTTTATGTATGCAGTAACAAATTTCACAAAATAAGACTAAAGCTTTAGTACAGTGAAATACTCCAATGTTTTTAGATTTTTTTATGCAGTTACCTACCCAGTCTTAACAAGGGTTTGATCTGCATTTTAAAAACACTGTTCAGAATCAGATAGTAACTATGCTATCTTTAATGGCAACTTTCCTGAGTCACTTAATTCTCATTGCCACTGACTTAGAGAATGTACTGTATTTTCTTTCTTGGCTAGTGGTAGACGAAGGAGAAGCCCCTCCCCGCCACCCACCAGAAGACGGCGATCCCCTTCTCCTGCTCCTCCTCCTCCTCCACCTCCTCCTCCTCCTCCTCGGCGACGCAGGTCTCCCACCCCACCGCCCAGGCGAAGGTACCGGTTGTGTGCGTTTGGGGCTGTGACTGTGGCAGTGGAGAGACCATCGCCCTGCAACCCTGCGTCGTCATGATTAAAGTGGCATTGCTCAGTTGGTCACCACAGCCAACATAATACACAATCCCAATTTATAGTGATAGTATGTTAGTGGCAGACAGAGAGTCTCAGGTGGGAGGGAGGGTGAATGGTGATGGGTATTAGTAATAGTTGTACTTGTGACTATACAAAAGTCATCTAAATGCATATTTTAAATGGATGAATTTAATGATGTGTGAGTTAAATAACAGGTTTGATGATAAATTTAAACGTGGCATTGCACTATTTAGTAGCTGCAAAGAGAAAACGAGTGACTGTAGTAAAGAGCCTCGTGAAGTACTACCCTAACTAAATAATCAAGGTGAATACCCAGCAATGTAGACTTCCTGGATAGTCCCTGGTGTGCGTACTTCTTGGATACTTCTATGATGTCCTTTCTACTCATGTATAACCCCGGTCTAGTTATTAGGAAATACCAGACGAGCACAAACTGAGTACCTGAGTACTGACTCAATAATACTCTTCAAAAATTTCAAAATCCTAAGAGAATGAAGAACAGCCATGGATTGGTGAAAACTAAGGAAACACGATAACTAAATGCAGATGGGATCCTGGGTCTGGGGGGGTCTGGAACCAAAAAGGGGTACCTGAAAAATTCACTGCCACTGAGTTGGTTCCTGCCCCGCTCGTTTCCAAGGCTGTAAATCTTTACAGGAGTCTCTTCTCGGCTGACCTTGTGGTTCACACCCCACTCCTGGCACCAATTATGTTAGACAGGGTTCTCTAGAGAAACAAAACCAGGGCACTAATGATTTTATGTATATATTTATATAGGTAGCGATGTAACAAATTTAAGCAATCTATTAAGCAGTACAAATGGCTCAGTGCAACTCACTTCTGTGAGAAAGCGAATACACTGTCAGTCCTTCAAGTCCTGAGGGCTGCCAGGTAGTCCTCTGGAGAGCAGTTCAGGCTACCCGACCATAGGCAACAAACAGCAAGGCAGGTCACTCACCAACAGTCAGCCAGAGGACGGTGAAATCCTATATGGTTTTTAATGAGCACTGTTAGTGGCAAGGTTAATGTCTTAGTTTTGGATCTTTTTTTGTGATCCTGTAAGACAAGCTCTCAGCTTACTGATGTCTGTGTTTTCCTAGGACTCCTTCCCCTCCCCCCCGCCGGCGCTCCCCATCCCCAAGAAGATACTCCCCTCCCATCCAGAGAAGATACTCTCCCTCTCCGCCTCCAAGAAGAAGAACGGCCTCGCCCCCACCCCCGCCCAAGCGCAGGGTCTCTCCATCCCCCCCTCCCAAGCGCAGGCTCTCCCATTCTCCACCCACCAAGAGACGCTCACCTTCATTATCATCCAAGCATAGGAAAGGGTCTTCCCCAAGCCGCTCTGCCCGCGAGGCCCGATCACCCCAACCAACCAAACGACATTCACCCTCACCACCACGGCCTCGAGCTCCACAGACCACCTCAAGTCCGCCCCCTGTTCGCAGAGGTGCATCATCATCCCCACCAAGACGGCAGTCCCCGTCGCCAAGTCTCAGACCCATTAGGAGAGTCTCCAGGACCCCGGAACCTAAGAAGACAAAAAAG